TTTTATCAGCTTTTCCCATTTTGACTTTCAACGCAGACATCATTATCATCATCATCACTACCACCACAACCACCACCGCTGCCATCATCATCATCGTTAATTTTTTTTTATTTATGATTATAATCATCTCATTCTTACGTTTGTTGTTGTTACTGTATTTCTATTTATCCATTCGACATTTGCATCAGGAGTAAATGATGGAATTAAACCGGAGGTTAAGCGACGGAAAATCTATTCAATACTCCAGAACTCTCCTTAGTATTTAGTTCCGCCTGTTCAGACCTTTACAACTAGGACTCGCCGCTCAACTACCACAGAGTCGAATCACCCTCGTTACCTCCATATTCCAACCAGCCTCCAGTATTCTATCACTAATTTTATAGCAGTTCTCAAATCGGTATCTATGCTGGTGACACAACTATTTATTCTTGTCTTAATCGTAAGTCTGGCAGCTGATCTAAAAAGTGATCTACATTCTGATGTTAAATGGGACAATGAATGGCTTGTTAATTTTAACGACTCCAAAAACTGCTCACTTCTAATCGTTTGAGAGAACCCTTTTTACTTTTTATCAGAATAGCAGCTGCTAACTTCTACCAGTGTGATTCATTACGCCTTTTCGGACTAACGGTGTCGCTAACCTGGCATCTCCGCTTCAGTCATTTTCCTATTGGCATAATGTAGTTTCCCTGTGCTTCTATATACTATAAATACTTTCATGGTAATTGTTCTGATGAACTTTCATCTATGGTTCCTAGACTTTATGAATTTTATCGCAGTACTAGATTGACTGTAAGGTCTCATCATTTTTGTTGTAGAGTAGTTTTCACAGTGGAGGCTTGTATTTCAATAAGTCGTCCTAAATTAGGTTTGACGTACAAAAACGTTAGGAACTTGAAATAAGAGTTAATGACGCAGCAAATCTAGTGATGGTTGATACTTCAATGTCCGATATCGACTGACTCGCTCAACACCACTTAGCCCAACTGGAGACCGCTACTACTACTACTACTTATTATGTGTGGGAGAGTCTATTAATAATAGAACAGGTATGTCAGGTATATCAATTTTACAGTTCAAATCACCATTTTGTCGATCGTAGTTAGGAACATCGAACCAATGCGAATGGTCCTTTCTTTAGCTGTATAGTATGTGCTACGCCATGGCTATATACAGTTTTTGAATTAAGAGTTGCTATAGAACCAAATCTGTTTTGCTATTTACTAATATCTGGCGGGAGAAGAAGATGTTTCATACCTTTCCTTACATTCATGTAAATGAATGTAATGCATCCGACTTGAATTCGAACTCGGCTCAACTCAATCCGAGCCGTTATCCATTATGCCACTGTGTCTCCTAACACTTCAGTTGGCTAGATGTAACCGTAAGTTCTATGTTAACAGTTTCTTCTATCTTACTTTTCGCATGTGGAACTCTCTTCTTATTTCTTACTTCCAAGTCAACTGCAAAATTTTAAGCGCAATATCATTCATTATATTCTGTTTTCTTAATTCTTGTTCTTTAATTTTTCTTTCTCCTTAATATTTTTTTCTCATATTCTCCAACTCCCAGTAATCCATTGACTTTGAGTGGTGTTGTTGCCTTACTTGTGGCTGAAATGATTTTAAAAAATTAAATCTCCGGGCAAACTACAATCCTGGAAGAAGGCTTGTAAAAATTAACACTCACAAGGCATATTGAGGGCTTCTTAGATAGGAAAAGGAAGCTAACTACCTACTTGAGGAGTTTGAGTGAATGGATGGCAGAACCGGGTGGGTGAAAGCCTTAACAAAATTTGAAAAAGTGCCACAAGGGATAGGAAGCTTTGGAGAGCCATGATCCTGAAGGGACGTGGTACATAGAAGATGTATAAATCCACTAGAGGATATCCATTAAAAATCCAACCATTGCTCTATCGCCTGAACGTACAAAAATATTTTTTTCACAACAGGTAGTGAATTTTCCTTTTTAATCATTTCACCCCAAGCAAGACAATGAAGCCACTAAGACGCAAGTGGGGTCCCTGAGAATGAAAGAATATGAGAAAAAAAGAAAAAAAAATATTATTAAGGAGAGAGGACAATAAAAGAACAGGAGTTAAAACTACAAAAGGTAACGAGGTATTTAAACTTTTTGACGTCAAAGTCGAGAGGAAAGCAAATACATTCACAAGCGAGAATGAATGGAACTCTCTCCCCCTCTCTCTTTTTGAGACTCAATGCCAAGACTTCAAAAAGGAGATTAAAATATATATATGTTTATTATGTTAGCAGATTAGAACTGTCTCTTCCACTGTCTTAAACATGGAGTAATGGATAGCGGCTGGGATTGAAGAATCGGATGAGTCGAGTTCGAATTCCATTCAAATCCATTACATTCACTTACCCTTGAGAAATTTATGAATCCTTTTCTCCCCCCACACCACGACCTATGGGTAAATAGCAGGACAGACCAGGTTCTATAGTCTTGTATGGTAATTAGTCTATCGCAGAAAGAGATGGCAACCTACTGCAGGGAAAAATCTACTTCGTCAGTCATGTATCGAAAGATACATGATCGCCTAAGCGTGTATCACATATGGCACATAATTGAGTGACCTGGAGAGGGTTGGGCCCCGTCAGGCTATCTTGCGCAAGAAATACTATTTCTGTAGTGCACATAGTGCCCTTACGACTCTACGGGATTCGGGATAAAAAAAAATACGATCTAAGCTAAAAAAAGTGGCAACCTGCTGCGGGAAAAAATCTGCTTTGTCAGTCATCTCTTAAAAGAAACATGATCGCCTAAGCGTGCATGGCACATAACTGACTAACTGAATTCCATTTTATTTTTCCAACTCCCGTGTGGTTTGATATTTTGACAAAATGGCGACTGGGTTAATAAAACATTAACGTATAACGCTAAAGATGATACTGACGGGAAAACATGTTAAATTCTCCAGACCGCCTTTCTTAAGAATGTATCCCAGATCCAACTGTATATTTCTGATTGTATACGTTTTCCTTCTAGTTCCTTTTATTCTTACAGTTTCTTCACGTGTCCTGTCTATGGTATTCTTTGGTAGATCCAAATCTTTTAACAATAGGATATTCACCGACCAGAATGTTTTAAAATTCGGATATTCACAGACCTGACATTTTCCAACTGGGATAAAACTAGCATCTTTTACCAACGTGATGCTCACAGAATTTTTTTTTTTTTTTGGTTGTTTTTTTTTTTTTGGTTGTTTTTTTTTTTTAATAATTGTATATTCACAGAACGGAATAATTTCACAATGAGATATTCAAAAATTTCGTTTTCACGTTCCTTCTTTCTCTTAGAGGAAGTTGTCCAATATTCACTGCTCTATAGACGATTACATAGCAGTTCAATACTCGTTTCATTGCTCCCAACGAAATATCCTTGTCTCTTAATACTTTGCTTAATTTCTGGATGACATCTTTCGCTATACCATGTACTTTCGGATTTCTACATTTCTATCGTTTCTCAATACACTACCAAGATAGTTAAGTTTGGGGACCTCCACTTTTTTGGCATAAATTTTCGATACCTAAGATTTAAAATTAAATTTTAAAAAGGAAAAATCTTTATTGAATATTTCATTTTAGCTTTAATTGAAAGTTTAATAATTAAATTTATTATTTCCATTAAGTAAAATATTCTGGTGTATTTCATTGGAGATAAAATTACAAAAAAATCTCGATACACCGGTTCTCTCCTCACTATTCTGGCTGGTTTTAGTAATATATTTATTTTGTAAAAATACAAAACTATGGCACAAGGCCGAAGGGGAAGTGGAGAAAGGCTGGTCTTTCACTAGCTATCGTATTCCTAGTTAACCACAATCATGACCCATTCATTCATTACAATTACACATTCACCACAAGAACTCATCCATCACCTTTCAATCCTGCACACACCACAATACGACATATTCAAATGGGTCCTACAAAACACCACATGAATTAAAAAAAATTTGTAATGTGTGTATATATATATATATATATATATATATATATATATATATATATATGTATAAAAATTTCATGAAACATGAAATGATGGGGAGGGGATATGAACCCCGACAAAAAACTCAAAATGTCAACCAAAGACAAAACGAAAACAAAACAATGGTTTTAGTAATACTGTTATCCGGATAGTTTCGATTCTTCATCTGAATTCTAGTTAGTCTAGACTGTTTATAAGGATCTTCGTCACTGTTCTAAGTCCGTCAATAAAGATGGGTCTATCTCCCAACCTTTATGGCTAACATTTTTACTTCTTCTCTTACAAGAATCAGTTATTTGTCAGGCTTTTTCCATTCCTTCGATTTTATCCTATGGTCTGCGTGAAAAGAAAAATCCATTATCTAATGGAAGAATCCATTGTCTAATGAAAGAATCCATCATCTAATGGAAGAATCCATCATCTAATGGAAGAATCCATCATCTAATGGAAGAATCCATTATCTAATGGAAGAATCCATTATCTGAATCCATTATCTCTTGTGTCTTTCACTTATTCATATGATTGCATTCCCCCACCCCCAAGTTAACAGATTTTGTTTGTTTTGGTTGGTTTTACGGCATATCAACCTCAATGGGTTATTTAATGCTGACAAGATTTATACTGATAATATTTAGTTCCAAATATGTATTGCTGGTAATAATTTTTTTCTTCAAAAAATTATTTCTAGTATTAAGACCGATTTTTACACGTTCATAGTGTTTTGACCTCAATTTAAGGGTTAACTATTTGCCTATAGCTGGGACCCTAACAGATGCTACCACCCCGGGTCAGGGTGGACCTGAGAACACAAGCAATTCTAAGGTGGTTCCACGCTCCTCAAAGTCTCCCTATCAGAGGCCTTGCTGTCGGATGTAGTTTATCGTCTTACCCAGGACGCGGATGTAGTTTATCGCCTTACCCAGGAGGCCAGGTTTACAGGCTGGTAATAAATTGGTGGTGTAAACTCAAAATTAAGGGAAAGCAAGTCTCCT